GTCAGTTCTGCTCACCCAGACTCAGGCAGGTGGGGCCAACGGCAGTGACTGTCTGTCCTGCCGGGTGACACCGCTCTCCCTGCAGCTGTGTGCATTCTGTGATGCCGGGTTTCTTTCTGACATGGGGCCTGAGGTGAATGCTGGTTTTCACAGCCCTTCCACAGTGTCCTGCAAAACAAGCTGTCCCAGATGGGAAGCTGGACACGGCTACATTCTGAACCAAGCATCTGGATTATTCACTGTGAGGCAAGGGACAAAAACTACCAGTAAACACCGAATTCAAGTAGTCATTTGGTTCATGGGTTTTCTTCTTCAGGGGAGTCTACAGATTCCAGGAGTAAGAAAATAAAACACTATAACATAAACACGAAATAAGGTCCAGGATTTTTGCTATTTGAAAAGGTAAACTCATAGTTTAAACTAATGATACTTTTATAATAGTTTCCTTTCAGATGTGTTCATCTTATGTGCATGAGTGTTTTGCTTTCATGTGTGTGCACTGTGTCTGCCTTGTCCCCATAGAGTTCAGAAGAGGATGTCAGAGCCCCTGGAACTGTGGCTACAGATGGTTGTGAGCCACCATGTGGGTGTTGCAGACTGGACCCCAGTCCTCTGCGAGAGCAACAAGTGCTCTTTGGTGCTGAAGCAATTCTCCAGTCTTCGAACTAGTGAGTTTGAATATTAAAAAAAAAAAATAGAGCATGGACAAGATGGCTGAGGTGAAGGTGCCTTCCACCAAACCCCAATGACGTAAGTTCTAATTCCAGGACACACACAGTGGAAGGAGAGAATGGACCACTGAAAGTTATCCTCTGACCTCCACCCTGTGCACTTGGACACACACATGCATGTGAGCACACACGCATATGCACACACACACACACATACACACATGCATGTGAGCACACACGCACACACACACACTAAAATTCTAATTAAAAAAGAAATAGATACAAAAATAAGGTATGGGGGTTGGGGAGCTAGCTCAGTCTGTAAAGTACCTGCCACACAAACACGGTGTGAGGTCCTGGATTTGGATCCTCAGCTTCCACACACAGGTCAGGGTGGGTGCACATGTGTAACCCTGCTGCTGGGGATGTGGGGACAGGTCCCTCAAGCCTGCTAACCAGCCAGTCTAGCCAACCATAAACTCCAGGTTTACTGAGCTCTCAGAAAATATTCAAGGGCCTTCTGGCTTCCATGTGCATGCTTACTCACACAAACAGTCACACGAGCAAGCACCTAACCACACACACACTAAGGTAGGATATACATATGTGTTTGCATATAATCATGTGCATGTATTCCCCATGTCTGTCCATGAAGGGGGACAAAAAGCATGATACTCAAGTAGCAATAAGCAAACCCACCTCCCAGATGCTGTGCTCTGAGAGGAACCGGGGCTCTTCAGGAAATGATTGATTTAAAGGCTGTGGCAGAGACAGTACAAGATGAGCCTGAAACATCTTGTGTCAAAAAAAAGTCTGGAAGTGTTAAAGAACCATGGAAACATGAAAAAGATGAGGGGGTTGCTTGAAGAGGCTTTCAAAGATAAACCATGGACACATCAAGCTTCAGGTAAAGGGATGATGCTAACAGATTATATGCACCGAAATAAATAGAAACCCCTGAGTTAAAACCAATATCAGTAAGTACAAGAGGAAGAGGAAGGCTCTGTCTTACCACAGACGCCAACCTATAAAGACAGAGAGAGTGAGTAAACGGAACTTCACCAATGGCAATTGTGGTAATAATGGACCCAGCAATGAACACATCCCCAGCCTTGTCGTGATCCGAGCAGCAGGGTGCTCACGGGGTCTCAAGGTGTCACTCTGAGTATAATCACAATTCTACAACCATCAGACATCGCCAGGACCAACTATCCAAATCCAGGATCATCAGGAACGGAACACCAGGTAAACCAGAGCTGAAGAACATGCGGCACTCTAAATGGATGGCACTCTTAGAAGAGTTCCTCTCACAAAAGGCAAAGAAAACCGAGAGCCAGGCCCAGCTTAGAGGCAGCTCTGGAGGAAATGTGAGAATATGATGCATGAGTCAAGATCTTCTTGTGCTATAAAGACATTGGGGGACAATTGGCAAAAATCTGAACAAGGTTTATAGATGAGGTATACCATCAAATGTAATTTTCTGATTTTTATGATTGTACTATGCAAACGCAAGATAAAATTTCTATTTTAGGAGATACATGTAGGATTAAAAAAGTACCCTGTTTGCAACTGAATCCACATTTGGGACTTGGGAGATGTTAACATTTGGGCAATTTGTCTGAAAGGTAATTGAGATTTTAAAAAAATTATTAATTCATATTAATTATATAAAATAATGGATTTTATTATAACATTTCCATGCATATGTATAATGGACTTTGATCATATTGACTCCTGCACCCACATTCGGTAGTAGGAGTTAGGAGTACTGTATATTCTTACATCTTTATTGTGAATTTGTTATTACATCAGAGAAAGAGAGTGCATTTGTTGAAAGGTTTCTATTGTATTTATTGGGGGTGGGGTGCATCCCACATGTGTGTGGAGGTCAGAGGACAACTTTCCGGAGTTGGTTCTCTCCTTCCAACCTGTGGTTCCCCGAGCTCGAACTCAGAACCTCAGGCTGGGCTGCAGTCACCCATACCTGCTGTGCCGTCTCACTGGCCCCAAGAAAGAAGTTTAAAACAACTAGGGATTTTTGTTTGTTTGTTTTGTTTTTCTTTGTTTTGTGAGACGGGGTTTCTCTGTGTGTAGCCCTGGCTGTCCTGGAACTCACTCTGTAGACCAACTAGCCCCAAACTCACAGAGATCCACCTGCCTCTGCTTTCCAAGTGCTGAGATTAAAGGCATGCACCACCATGTCCAGCCAAAAACTAGTGGTTTTGTTTTTGTTTTGTTTTGTTTTGTTTCTTCTTTTTCTTTGGGTTGTCTGGTCAGGTTTTCTTCCAGCCATGGTTGAGGTTTTTCCCATCTACAGTTGATGCCAGGGCGGGAATGTTTTAGACAGTTCTGTGTCAGCGCCCCTCTTCCTGCTCTTCCCTTGGGGTGGCTGGGAGGCAAGGCTCAGCAAAGACACGGGATAGGGTGGCCTCTCTTCCCGTAGTTTTGAGCTAGTCTTGTTGTCTGGACCACTTGGGACCCCTAAAAGGGCCTACATGGGACCTGCTAGAGCTGCTTAGTCTTGGCCAGGAAGACGCACACGCCACTCCCCTGGAGTGCCCTTCATTCTGTTCATCCACAAGAACCACAGGTCAGCCCAGGCATGTGTGGAAGGACTCCACAGAGATGAGGCCATCTGAGAGGTGAGACGAATTAGGTGCCATGTAATCCAAGAATCGTAACACTGTGGGAGCCAAAGTTACATTTTAAGTTTTAATTACTGTGCCTTAGAGATCCAGGAAACAAAAATGCCTCTGATCTGCAAGCCCTTTGCCCAAGGACAGAGAGTTCCTGGAATGCTGAAGATTATTACTTATGGGAGATAACAAGCCACGTGCTTTCACTCCCCTAAACAAGTTTGTTTGACCCATCTGCACCGGATGTGCTTGGTCACAGGTGGGCAGGAAGTTCATAGGCAGGAACTATGTCAGGATGTAAGCTTGCCCCTGATTGGACCTGATGGGAAATACTTTAAGGCCCTGAAGACCATGACTCGGGGCCATTTTCTGGGAAATCAGAGATGGACCTGGCCAGAGTCCATCAACCTGAACAGTATTTAATTAAAGCTTGCTGTTATTTACTATTTGGTGCAATGTTATTCATTAAGTCACACTGTTTACCATGTGAGAGAAGCCACGAGGTACAACAAAACCAACTATAAGAGTTTATTAAGAGAAGGGAACAGAAGAGGTGTGCTTAGGCCTATGGAAAGACTGTGCAGGAAGTGGGGAGGAATAGATGAAACCCGTTTTTATAGATTCCCCTGCACATGGGCTCACATAGCTATGCCACACACATGCATAGATAACATGATCATACAGCACACAGATTACGTAGGACGTAAGTCCCTGGGATGACTAAGCATCTTGCCTGGCTATTGGACAGCACATGTGCAGTCATGTAGCTGGAGGAGTGGCCAAGAATTCTAACATTCCAGACTCTTTGTTTATTTTAAAAATGGTGGTTGGACTGAAATGGGGGTGCTGTGTCTCCCAAAACTGCTTCCAGCTGACTCTATGGGCATCAGTTAACTTTTGGGGTAGCCAGATGACCTGAGGTAGTGGATTGTCCTCCACTGCTTTGGGAATTGTCCATCGCCTTCCGCTGCTTAGGGCTCTGTGACTGTTTGGGTCTGAAAAGGTGCTGGCGAGGCAGAAGAGGAACTTTAGAAAAAATTTTTACCTGGGCGGGGG